AGAAAAGAGGGAGGTCAAAGAACACATTATGTCGGGAAATAGCAGCACATATGAAAAGGATGAATAGGAAGCGGAAAGAACTGTAAAGGATTGCCCAGGACAGGTTGTTGGATGGCGAGTGCTGGTGGGTGGCCTATGCTCCTCCACGAGGATTAACAGGCGTAAGTAAGTATTATTGGTTTTATGCAAAATCATCAGTCGACAACTACATCAACCTCAGTTCTCATTGTATGGTTCGTATATACGATTCATAATAAAGATTAATGGAGAGAATCAGTTCGTGCTGTTTGTAGCAATCAATATAAATTTTGTTGGAAACACAGTCAAGATAAAAAATATAAATGTGACAAATTGAATATTATAGATTTCGTTAGTCAAATGGAAAAATATTTGAAATGATTTGAAGTGTGATATTTTATAGGGAAGAAGAAGAACTCTAGACCACTGAGTCGGCCCTTATCCAACAGTGTTAATGTACTGATTTCTAAAAACGACATGAATTGATTCTTTTAATTAAGCGTTATTATGACTCGTATATACGAACCCTACAATAAGAACTGAGGTTGATATAGTGATCAACTAATGATTTTGTTTCAAATCAGTAATTTATCAACATAAACAGGTAAATCGTTCCTTAGTTTACATTTTCAAAGGTGTTTTGAAACATTAATAATGATTGATTTTTATTGAAATGCGTACTACATGGATATTTAATTAACATATTAAGTAGTATAAGTAGAGGATAGTAATATCAGGTGTGTGTGTGTGTGCATGTATGTATGTATGTTATTGAAAATAACTGTTTTTATCAGTTATATAGTACACAAATAATAATAATAACAATATTGAATAGACGTTAAAGCTTTTGTTTATCTTACATACATTCATGTGTTGTGTGTACTTTTGGTTAGCGTTTTTTTTTTGTGGCGAGTTAGTTTTCTACGGGATGGGGTCGTTAACGCCATGCCCAACCCTCCTCCTTTATCCGGACTTGTGACTGGCAGTAGCTCCAGAGGGGCTCCAGGCGGAGTTGTTTTGTGTACATAGTGTATCCAAAAAACAGCACATTGAAGGATAAAGATATATGTTAATGAATTTGTAGTACATCTACTTTTCACTATTTAATATGTGTATAATATGTACAGCATTTTATTAAGTGACTGATACATAAATGAGCATAGTTATTATTGGCCCTAATTTTCACTTTACTTGATGTTTGTATTTTTCGTCTGAACAACTTGAGATATGCTACAATGTCCTATTTATATTATACCTATAGATAACCTAAGATGATTGAAATGAAGTCCTCAGTAAAAACTACACTCTTATATGCAGTTATCACATACTGAATGAACCAAATAGAAGATAATAGAAAATGTTTTCCTCTTATTGCATTCATGATGAATAAAAATCAATATCATTATATCTCCCTCCCCAAGATTTTAATTAGTTACTTCTTTAATCACTTTATCTAGGTATAAATAATAGAATCAATCATTGATAGAAAGCAACTGTAAACACATAGCAACAGGTTAACTTCCAACATTCCACTAATTAAGGTTAATTGTTCACGAAAACTATTTATGTATTAAACTAAACTTTCTTTCTAATTCTTTCTTCCTGTATTATACACAATCTTTCTTTTATATATTACCACCACTGAATTAACTACTTCTCTGAATACGGTGTTTATCTTGTTGTGCTAATGAGGTATGGCAACTTGGATTGATGCACATATGTGCCTAGTTCTACGTTGTAGCTGACTGACTGACTGAATCTTCGAAAAATCTCCTTTTGTTAAAACATATTTATTTCCATTTGCTTTTTTTTCGGTACAAAAGTGGATCCTATGACCATAATCTACTGTTGATCAATTCAATGTTTTAAAAAATTAGATGAACGATTTGTAAAGTTAAGCTAGGATAGAAGGTTGTGTATAGTTAGTTAACAATGATTAATTAGTTTGTAGACTTCAATGATATTATTCTTTTATTTTGATTTCGTTTGATGAAAAGATTAATGGTATAATCCTCTTAAAGTTTTAATCAAATTATCATTAAACTAGTAATGTTGGGCGTTTGTGAGTAAGATCGAAATGTTACGGGTTCGATTCCAGAATCCGGGTTCATGAACAAGCAATTTTGAGAAATTACATACCAGGATAAAATGACCGGTCACTCACAATTCTTTAGCAAACAGTTCTTGTCTTTGTAGCTCTGTGCTTTAGAGGGCTTACTATTGGTGACAAAAATCCATGCTGTAGGGTGAAGTATGATATTTTAGGGAGATGACCTTCACTAATCTTTTCCTTTCTTGTAGAGAGGTGGTATTGCTGCTGCTACTAGAACAAAACGAACTACTGCATTCATATCCCTGTACAATCAGCAGTGCAACTTTGTCCTTAAACCTTATTTTTGGTGCTTTTCACTCTAGTGCTATCTGGTTGACCTAATTAGTATAGTTAAACCTAAGCAAACAAGTATTCCAACTAATATAACTCGACTAGATCATCATGATAGTCAGACTTGACCATCATGTACTTCAAGATAGCAGCTACGGTTGAGTCTAATTAAGATCAGTTTATTCTCAATATTTTCTGATATTACCAAAGTTATAAACGTGAACTACTTGGTGTACCGACTCAGTGGTATGAAAACTAAACCCTCACCAAGAAGCCTTAAAGTTTTAGATTTGATCCTTGATGAGATTGTAGATATTAACTGCTAAGACTTATTATATTAACATGTGTCAACTGTTCATTGGTTCTTGGCTTGCAATCATTGACTAATTTTGAATTCAGTTATTTTTCTCTTTAAATAAAGAATGTTAAACACAATTTTTAACTATAACATTGTTGTTTATTAGGGGTATGGATTGCCATAAACTAATCAATCAGTTTATTGACATTATTTGTTTGTTGACTATTTTTAATCTCTACTTAATGTAAATAATATTGACTAGTTCTGTAAACATTAGCAAGTAGTAACTATCTAGTTAAAAGGGGTTTTTATAGAGAATGTTTTAATTTATAAGTTGTATTAGTCACAGGTTACTAGGGATCACTGGATAACTGTTTCACCCTAGTATGAGACTCCTCAACAGTAAACACTCGCAAATCCTTCAAGGGTAGAACTCAGGATGTTTAGGTCTAAGCAGTTTCTTATTGAGATGAAATATATGTTCAGTTATCCAACTTTTTAAATTGTGTTCACCCCCCCCCCCACATTGAGATCAATCTATGATGAATAGAACCTGTAACCTATCGACTTTAGATCATATTCAAGTACACAGTGTTCACATGGAGTTTCTTCACTGTAAATGGCAGTAAATATTTATTTCAAATTGCAATGAGAAAAATATTTCATCAAACTACTTATTTAATTATATTCTATGTTTTTACGTAGGAATTTCAGAAACAGTTCGTATACAATGGTGAGAATCATGTTTAGAATTTATCAGCGATTCAAAAGCTGTTAATTTGAATATACTTCTAATTCATGTTTTGTTTTACTAAGTCATTCATTCATCCTTGTATCATTACTACGCTTTTAATCGTTTTCCATCTTAGATGTTTTATTTATCACTATTTGGTTATGTATGTGTCACGCCCGACCGTAGCTGCTACCTTGACGTGGTGGTCGGGTTTGCCTGTCGTGATGACCCAACTGAGCTATATTGGCTGGAACATACGTTCCTCAAGGTTCTACCATGCCAGGCAGGTCGATTGGAGAACGGTAAGACTAAAAGCAGTGATTCAAGGTCTAAGGGAGAAGTCGTACTGCTGACTGTACAGAGGTGTGACAGCAGTAAGGTGTTTCCTTCGGACAACCAGCATCTGCAGCGATGCTGCCTTCTCACAAGGAAGGAAGGAGTTAGAAAAGGTTGGCCATAAAATTGTCATACCTCATCTTACCTCATGGATTTCCATTTCCGATGGCAAGGCCTTTTGAAGAACGGAGCTAACACGTTAAAAGCTTACCACAAAATGGGCGTGCGGGACTGCCTTCAAGCAGTAGTCCCTTGGGCTCTGCGGTCACGCTCCCAGGTCGTTAAGACCAACGCTAATCCAACCTCCTTTTCAGGTTCCTCAGGAAATATCCTTCCACGGTTTAGGCAGCCGGAAAGTGACATCAGCTCTCATGCCCGTAACAGCACACGAGATTGACTGACTGACGTTCCTGTTTAGTTGTGTAGTAGTAACTCAGCTGTTAAAGTGTTCAAATTTCAGTTACTAAATCCTAGGTGCGAATTCTACCCTTCACCTACTTCGGATCGGATAACTGGATAATATCATTAGCCTCGACACTAACAGTGTTACCTCAAGCCAAGTACACAAAACTATACAGCTGGTAAATGAGTTAACAGTTGTTAAAGATACCGAATTAGGTTTACACTATTCTTAATTAATGAAATGAATCCATATCTTCTTGACAAGTTGGTTTTCTGTGTTTTTATTTGTAACACAAGAGCTGTACATCGAGGGTCCGAATATAATGAATAAAACTGTGTGTATGTCTACATGGCGATTTAGTGCAGCAACTTGCCACGAGGAGCTTCATGTTAAGTTTTTATATGTTGGTGATTAACTGACTGATTTATTCCTCATCAAGTTCTTAAATTTTGCTAGTTAAGCTATGTATGACGAATTTTTGCTTCTCTTCATTCCGTGAAGTCATGTATTTTTCGTCTAAGTCATCTTTTTCGGTGTAACCTGTCTGGTTGAGATCTGCACAATAAACGCGATCAGTGATTGAGGACATGGGGTAATAGGTTTCAGATGTATACACTTTACATTGTTTTTTAGACCTACTATTTCGGAACAGTTTTAAACATGATGCTAATTTGGCGTATGACAACCTTGTCCTAGACTTTTCATTGATCATAACTGATCAACTTTATATTTCTGTACTATTCTAAGGTGTGTGTGTGTGTGTGTGCATATACTGAGTTGAATTGATACATAATTATACTTTTTTCTTATGTCTTTCATTTAATTTTAGATCTTCGTTGGACATTGGCTAGAATAATGAGTTTAATAGGCTTATTGACAGCAATTACATCTTTTATAATTCATATAATTCTAGCATATTATCAAACAAATCGTAAATGGTTAAATGTACTAGCTGAAGTTGTATTTCTTCTGATAGCTGGTAAGAAAAGTAATTTATTATTATTTTTTTCTCTAAAAGTTTTTGATTGAGATCATGAACCGATTGATGTTAGACCACCATTGAAAACCTGGAAGCACTGGACGGCCGTTTCGTCCTATTGTGGGACTCCTCAGCAGTGCGCATCCACGATCCCGCTCGCGGTGTTTATTACCGTAAAACGGTGATTTTGAACGATATAGTGAGTGAGAGGCCAAAAGACTGGTCATAGATGTAGATTCGTGTATGAACCTTTCAAAAATGAATTTACTTTGAACCAAAAAGCTGAATTTATTTTCATTTCACAGTTGATGTTCACTACAGGATTCATCAATATAATGAGTCTCATGAAGGATGAAATACACATCTTAGATCTGATTGCTAGCTACGTTTCATCTATTCCAAATAACTTTATGACATAATGACTGTATCGAGACAATCCGCACAGAATGCACATACACCAACTAAGACTGATGGAAACTAAATCAAAATATCAACAATAGGATGTTCCAAATTACTAGATATTAAATTGAAGTATCATTATTATGCATAGTCAACTTGATAATAGTAATGGCAGTTTTAGTGTTTGGAACATTTAAACTTATCATCTGGTTCAATAATTGGGGTAGTATTCATTATTATCTACTAAGTTTAAAGTTAATAGACTCTGTGTTTTCCCACTATGTTCATCAAGTGGGATTAGGTCCTCTGCCTTGTTGAATCCAGTATGTCTATGAGTAAAAAAGTAAATGCCTAAACTTTGGACACTCAAACTTGAGAGAAACGATTCAGTTGGTAATTAAACACCTGAAAGGAGATAATACGGTCCAGCCTCTTTGGGTTGTGTTACGGACTACGTCTGATTCGCATATACGCGCTAACCAGAGAAAACAATTTAAACCATTTAAACTTTGTCCTATTAGGTAAAGGATCTTTATTTAGAAGAATATGCAACAACTATTCTGAACTTTACTAAACAGATATCGATTTTATTATAATCTCAAAATAATCTTAGTTAGATTATCATTGAATGAATGTTTCATCTTAGTATGGGCTTCTTCAGTAGTGCATAGTAACGACCATACCATAAAGGATTCAATCTAGAACTATCGTTTTCATGTCGGAAATATTTTACCTCTCGATTACTGGGCAAAGAATTCTAGTGATGTACAAGATTTGATCTTTATATTCAATAATTTTCTTTGATGTATATCTATATAATTTCAATGTATAACATATTCATATTGTCTGTTTCTATTTTATTTCTTTTTTCATCTAAACTTATAGTTGCCTGTGTATTGGTTGGATTAAGTTTAGCTGAAACAGAAATTGAATATATTCATGATCATGGTGATATGATCCTAACAAAAGTTCTCTTATCAAATGGTTTAATGGGAACAAATGATAAATATACAAATCAATTCTATTTAGATAATAATAATAATAATAATAATAATAATAATAATAATAATCAATTAATGATCAACAGAGACAGTACTAGTGGTAATTTCAATCTTGAAGATCATACTACTATCAATAGTCTTAGTAGTAGTAGTCGTGGTAGTGGTAGTAGTAGTAGTAGTGGCACTAGTAGTAGTAGTACAGACAATGATCGTTTAGGTTTATCTGGTGAATTTGCATTATTTCTTACACCACCATTATCAAGTTTTTTCTTATTAATTTCAGCTGATTTTATTTATTTATTAAGTTTTCTTGCAGTACTTATTTATTTTGTACGTTTATGTGAAAAAGCTGTAGCGGATAGAAAACAAATGAAATCCGCTGAAACAACTAATTGTGCTTAAATAAACTAATTACTATGGACTAATTCAACTATCATTTCTTTACTCACCCTCTCTCTTTCTATTTGTGTGTATGTGTGTGTGTGTGAGGGGTGGGTGGGTGGTTGGTTGAGTGCGTATGTCGATACGATATTCACAAGTTTGAAGATTCTGGATAAAATATCATCATTATTGTCATAGTATTAATATATGTGTTTCTCTCATAAGAGATTCAAAGGTGACTATACATAATATCCGGATACTATTCTTATTTAATCTCATTTCATTTATTTTCATGATTGTTTGTTATATGTTATCATTCAAGCAGAACTAACATCATGTATGTGATCTATTGTTATTATTCATTGTCTGTGACATATGAATGATGGTTACTTCAGTGTGTCTTCTTCTTCGTCTTCTTCTTCTTCTTCTTCTTCTTCCGTGCATGAATACAAAATAAATTGCTTTGATTATAACTAAATCAAATTATCTATTTTCAAAGCTTCTTGTGTGTGTGTGTGTATCTGTGTGTATAGGAGAGATATTCTTCTATTCGTGCATTTTTTTCTTGTTAAAGAAAATACATTTTCAGCATTGAAAATTCATATTGTTTTACAGTGTAACATTTGGGGTTATATAAATATTTTGTTCAAGTGTAATAAAACTTTTCTAAAATTTGATGAAATGAAACAATCTTTTTTTCTTATTTTCAAAAATAGAAGATAGAAATTTCAATGGTTCAGATCATGAGTCATTTGAAGGTAAACCATTATGGAAAACCTGGAAGCATTGGACGGCCGTTTCATCGTATTGTGGGGCTGCTTAGCAGTGCGCATCCACGACCTAACCCCCTGCGAGATTCGAACCTCGAACCCAGGACCTACTGGTTTCGCACTCGCAAGCACTTAACCACTACACCACTGAGCCGGCACATTAACCATTGAAATTACTACAATCTCCACAAAACCCCTTCTGATATTAATCAACATATGCTCACTAGGGACTGGCTCCAAGACGTATATCTTGGAGTTCTAGTGAGAAGTAGTGACCAGTAAAGTTCAACCAGGTCTGTTGTGAGATAGTAACTCACTGAAGACAATGGTGGATATGTCGCTCAATTTCGTGGATTAGTTGAAGTTAGACATTGACACTGTTAGATGCCGGCCGGCTCAGTGATCTAGTTGTTAAGTCCTCGCGCGCGAAACCAGTAGGTTCTGGGTTCGGATCTCTCAGGAGTCGAGGTCGTGGATGCGCACTTCTGAGGAGCTCCACAGTGAGACGAGACGGCAGTCCAGTGCTTCCCGGTTTTCCATGGTGGTCTAGATTCAACTGACTCATGATCTTAACCGTTGAAACTACTGCAATCTCTACAAAACCCCTTCTGATAGAAATTTCATTTTGTAGTTATGGCCCCCAAATGCCCTGGTATGTCTGAAGGGGGTGGGGAGAGTCAGCTCTCCCTCTCGAAATGCTCTCACATGGTCACGTGCATACAACCACTCACAATGAAGTCCTAATCACTACCTTCTCGCGGCATTACTGTTGTTTATGAAGTCGAGAGGACGAAAAGCGAATTTCCGGTGCTTTAACCGGGTCGGTGAACACGGGGAGTTGGAAAACCCTGATTCTAATCCAATAGTGCACATGGGCTCCAGTTTCCTGAAGGAACAAATGGCGTATGAACCTATTGTTGGCCACCGGCTACCATGGGACTGCATCTCCTGAAGTCGATGCACCGCCTTGTGGATCAGACCTTCAGGTTGAAGGTTCCGGTTGTGACCTCTTAATTAAAACCACCTGTTTTGTCTAGGACACCCGTAAGTACCACAGCCCACATACAAATCAAGTGACTTGTGTGGCGCATATGTATTCGGTGCCCTTTTGCACTACTGTTTATGTACTTAAATAAATAAATATATTTGTAATTTCAATGGTTAAGGTCATGAGTCAGTTGAAGCTAGACCATTATGGAAAACCTGGAAGCACTGGACAGCCGTTTCGTTCCATCGTGGGGCTGCTCAGCAGTGCGCATCCACGACCTCGACCCCTGCGAGATTCGAACCCAGAACCTATTGGTCTCGTGCGCGAGCACTTAACCACTAGACCACTGAGCCGACCGGCATTTGACGGTGCTAATGTCTAACTTCAACTAATCCACGAAATATTCGTATTGGCGATTCATCACAGAAATTTGAATGCACTAGATACAAACTAGATGATTACCTCCTGATTATATTTAGTTCCTTACAAATTATGCTACTTATTATTTGTAAGTAGCTCAGTCAATTAAATACATTTTCTGTTACTAGAAGTAGGATTGTTGCAGTGACAAGTTAGTTTATATTATTATGTATAATGATTACGATTCGTGAAGTACGGTTCATATGAATCAATAAAACGATCTGATAAATGATTTGATAATCTAGCCATTAATTATAAGATTTATCTTTGGGAATTCAAGCAAGTGTCTTAGAAGCTCTCGAAAATGTCTTCGAAAGTTAATAGATTGCTAAAAATACCCCCAAACAATTGATGTTCATGGAAAACTACCTAGAAATAATAAAGTAAAGAATTGTTTGTTCCTTTTTTATCCTGATTGCATGACTACTAATTTTATCGTACTGTTAGAAGCTTCTAAAATCTCAAGGTTCTATATACTTCTAAGGCTAACTTTGTTTTTTGTAGATAATCTCAGTTGGGATGAAAAGATTACTCCACGATTTCCACTATTTATTCAAGATTAAATAGTCGACAACTATCTAGAAATTAGGAAGTAAGTAACTGAAGATTGTTGTAAATGAAAATTAAGTTTGAATTAAGGGTGATAAGATAATGATGTTAACAAAAATCAATGAAATCGGTTACTTTTCAATGTAAGTAATTGAAGAGGATAAATATCAGATGAATTTACAAACAAACAATGAGAAGAGGCAAATGTATGAAAGCAATGTGAATGTTAACAATCGTATACATATCCTAGACTCAATCAATTATACTTCTTGACGTGAATAGTTAATGTTGAGCCGTTACTAGTTAACACCCATATGTCCACTACTTGCAAGCTTATCTTTCTATGTTTTCTATTGTAGGTTCAAAGAGAAGTCATCAATCAACTTCTGTTATATCATATTTAAAGAATATGTGGACTTGAAGCAAGCTTTGTGTATATTAGGGATAATAAGAAATGCAATACCAGTTGATGGCTAAAACAATAGGCTTATGATAAACGGAATATATAAAAATAGTAACCCAGACATTTAATAGTTATACAGTAACAATATATATAGCATTAATGATCCAGAAATTAGTTCTCGGAGTAGTCATTTCTTCAGACTTCGTTTCAATACTTCATCAATTACCGTCAGTGAATGACTTGTTATCTTGATTCCGTAGAATTAGGTGTTATTTCATGAAGATTACGCTTCATGGACTTGTTTACAGCTGAATGAATCAAGTAATTTAAGTTATGAGTGTACAGTTAAATTTGTAAGGTCTTAAGTTAAACAACTATGAACATGAGGACAATAATTATTATATGCAATTCAAATAAATAAGAAGTTACAATGAATTCATATACAATAGATGGAATATGATTAGTAGTGAAACGCGGGATCTATGTTTTGTTTGGGTCTTGTCATTTGAATGAACTTGAATTCCAAATTTGGTGTAGCCACTTAAAACAACCACCTGCTTCAGTTTGAGCACCCGGGCAGTATCACAGCCCTCACACATATCGAATGAGAACTCTGTGGCGCGTATGTATTTGGTGCCTCCATGTAAATGTCAACGCGTTATTTACTCAGCTACTAAGTTTAAACAGTCATTCGTTTGTGCGATAGATTTAATATTCAACTGAGTTTGTAAATGGTTTGGATTATCTACTTAATATTCCTACTTACTTACTTTAATTACGCCTGTTACTCCTCGTGGAGTAGTATAAGCCTTTAGTAGCCTGATGTGTTCGCTTGTGGTGACGGGATCACCATTTTAGTGGCCCGTGATCTGTCTCCAATTTGATCGTAATGATTGGTTGCTATCGTCTATCCTTGTATATAATCCTTGACTTAAATCGCGTTAGTTAATAACGGAATTAAATAAGTCAAATAACGAGAATGGAGTTTTGAATGCATATATTTCGTATAATTGTTGATTAGACAAACGAACGGGAGAACGACGCGAAGCAAAATTGACGAACGGTGGAGATGGCTGGTAAGCCAACTCTCCTTTAACAAAGAGTTAATCAATATTTATAAGCCCACAAAAATAAATTACAGACATGTGATGAGTAACGGGATAAGAAGTGTGCATACGCCTACGCGCTCATACAAAGACAGTCAAGATATTGATAAGCGAATAATTAACAAGGTCAGAATGTGACTCAAATAGAATGAATAGAATGAGCTGTCCGAAAGTTAGAATAATAAGGTATTTGGGCTTAACATAATGACAGACACTACAAGCCGCCCACTAGCACTTGCCATCCAACCCTAGATGGAATGTAGCTAGCAGTATAATCCAGAACGTATGATTAGTTTTAATTGGGGCTCGTCTATTGGACGTATCTATACAAAATTCAGTCAAAATATCAGCAACTGGATATTGTTATCCACTACAAATTGAACTATGATTTTCTCAAATGTGTTTGTATTATTTATACTACTCATAAGTAGTTAAAAATCAATTTTCGGAAACATTTGTGAAAATCGTAGTAATTTAATGATTGAATTCATCAGTCGATTTAAACTAGATCACCAAAGGTTCTGAGTTCAAGTTCCGCGTGCGTGATCGTGGATGCACACTGTTGAGTCCCATAATAGGACGAAACGGATGTCTAGTGCCTCCAGATTTTCCAAAGTGGTCTAGCTTAAATCAACTATTTAAGAAATTACCTATAAACGAAGCCGAAATCAGTCAAAAAAATCTCTGTTTTAGTAAATCACAGAAAAGTATTTAAAAATGGTACAATCTGTTAGGGATGAATTTAAATGACTGTGTTTCATGGTGTTCTATTGTACAGATCTCTCCCTTTAAATCATATTGATGTGATTCATCTTTTAGAGTATCTTGATCTAGACGAGAATAATAGTGTACTCAATGGTTAGAAAGTTATC